ATTCTTGCTTCAGGGCACTTGCACATGCCATTCCTTCTGCCAAGAATGCCTTTCCTCAAAGTTTTGCAAATTTGACTTATATCAATCTGGCCTCACCTCTACATCATCCTCTTATAGAGGACTTCCCCTGACCACCAAACAGAATGGGCTACTCCCTTTCCCTGGTCCCACCCTCCCCTATCTCATGTTTTACTGTCTTCATGCATAGATCATGATAAAAATTTTCTTGTTAATTCATCGCCTGTTTATGGCTTACTTCTCCTCACTCCTCTCCAGAATATAAGTTGCATGGGACTTTGYTTCTCTCTTTAAACACTGCCACGTTTATCAGTGTTTAACCCACAATATGCCCTCAATAAATATGTATAGATGAATGCATGAACAAGCGCACTGGGTTTCACGTTGCTGAAATTCCAATATGGCTGAGACACGGAATGAGAATGGCAAGAGGTAAATCAAATATGTTTGTAGGGACCAGGCCCATACAGCCCTGCCAAGGAAATTGGATTTTACTCCAAAGGTGACTAGATTTTAAATTTCTTTGGTCCTGAAACAGAGTTACAGTAAAACCAGAAAGGCTCAGAGACTGAAAAAATGGGAGAGTTGTTTTCTGCTATGCCCTTCTGTCTGAATCACTTGTCAGTTTTGAGAGCTGGGAAAGCAAATGGACCTCCTTGTTTAGCACTTCAGTTTGGTAGAGAGGACAAAGCAAGCTGCCAGCTGATGATTGGCTCACAGCAGCCCCAGCAAACTTCTAGCTGCCAACTGATGGGCTCCTCTGCGGTGATGCTYATTGGGCTGTTTCCCSRCCCTTTCAGACCACGGAGCTGCTCATTGGGGGACTTTTTTTGGYTCYGCCCATGCGACCCAGCCAATCGGCCTCAAGAGCAGGAGGAGTGGGGGAGGTTGAGAGGCTTGTGGGAAGCCGGTGGTGGCAGTTGGGCTCTGAGGATTTTTCCTGAGGAGCTGTGTGGTGTGGTGTGTGGTTCTAAAAATAAAGTTTGTTTCTTTTGACAAGTGGCTCCTGAATTGTGCCCAGCCAGACTGCRGTTTGCTGGGGCCCCTTCGGCTGTGGCTCTCAACACCTGGGTCYTGTTCTTCTGCCACTCTTAGCCACAGAAATGTGATTTGAGGATAAAGATGTCCTAGGATCTCCGTACTCTGTCCCCACAGCCCATGTGAAAYGTGGCTGGGTCCTTTCCCAGGCCCAACCTGGCAGACAGCCTAGTACCCCTGCAGAGGCCGTATCAGGGGTGGGGCAAGCAGCTGCCCATTGGGCTCATGGCCAGTACAGGCCTGGCTACGGGGATAGCATAAGGTCCTGGGTACCGCCACCTCCCACATGTTGCTTCCTGAGCAAAGCACCCTTAGATAAATTGGGGATACAGATTTCAAGGAGGCTCTAGGGAATAAAAAATCAGAATCCAGGGTCAGATGAATGGCAGAATATGGAAATGAAAGAGAAGCAATTATGGAAAGAGGGAGGGGAGTAGACTCTACTAGCAGGGCTTGCTGCGATCCCCTTAAAAGCATGTGGTGTGGGGTGGGAGCACTATCATGGGACTCAGAAGCCAGTGCAGAAAACGAGAAGACAAAGGTAGGAGGAGAAGCAAGGGACCCTCAGCTCTGCTCCTGAGCCACATAATTTTAACAGGAAGAGGCTGGAGGAGGCAGGAGCTGACGAGCAGGCTGGGGGTAGTGCTGCAGGGAGCCTGGACCACCAAGCCACAACTCACATGGCAAGAGGAGGGGGACATCCTGGCAAGGGAGAGTGTGTAATTTGCTCACAGGACACTCATGATCAACATGATCTAGAGGATTAATGATGAAACTAGAAGAGTGTTTGGTGGTGGTGGTAGGGGGGGAATATCACCAAGCCAAACATCATAAAAGCCAGCATATCTGCTATGGAGCACCTACTGTCTCTCAGGCCTCTGCTAAGTAAGCACCTTATATTTTCATTCATTTAATCCTTGTAAAGATCCTATGAACTCAGGAAAACTGATATTTTTAAAACACACATAACTTGTATAAGAGTTTATAGCTAGAAAGCAGGAAAGTTAGGATTTGAACCCAAGTCTATCTGAAATCAGAGACTAAGCTCTAGGAGGAGACAAAAGAAACAGAAGAAATAGGAAGTGAGGGTGAATCAGCCAGCCTAGACAATGGTTGCTGGTGCTCCCTTTACTTCATTTACTTCATTCTAACAAGCCATTCTGGGTCCTCTGTCCATAGCCCTGACCTTTCCTTGGAAACCCATCCTCTCCTCTCAATCCCTTATAGCCTGAGCCTTTGTCCCCAGAAGTGAGACGTGCTAATCAGCCTGTGCCAATCAGCATGATGCATCCCTGGCCACAGTGGATGGTTTACAACAAATATGTGCTCTCAGCCTGTCTACTCTGGATGGATCTCAGAGCTCTGGACAAGACTCTGGTTCTTTCCTGCTGACTTTAACCTTGATGGCCAAGTCTGGGGTTACTGCAGTTATCTTACCCCCATATCCTGGATGTGCTAGGGACCTTCCCGTGGAGCTCAAGACTAAATCCAACCTAGAGGTGGGCAGAGCCCAGGGCCTGAGAGAATGATTTATAATGACATTGTCTGAGCTCTGAACCCAGCTGTTCTGAAGCTGGATCTATCTTGAGCTTTTCAGTGACATGAACCAATGATTTTCCCTCTTTAAAGGTAGATTGTTCTATGCTTTCATTCACCTGCAATCATGAGTGCTATTAATACACCATCATTCACCAAGAAAGCAATACCTATATGAATGAGGACAGAAGGATCTGGGTGAGAATCACAGAGGGAGAGAACAAAAGCTACCCCTGGGGCCACCCACTTACAGAGAGTGGTTCTGCAATGCACAAGACCAGACTAGAGTAGAGGCAAGATTCAGTCTGCCTGACAGATAATTTTAACTAACCAAATGTCTGAACATCTTATTCTGGAAAAACAGAACATTTAATAAGTCTTTATTGCTTGGCTGACAATTTCTCCTCTCAAGAACTTAAGGGAAAATGTTATTATGTCTTTATTATTCTGGCTTGAAAGATAGAACAAGTCTTTTAGTTTTGTTTTTTATCCTTTTTCTTTTTTAAGAGGGAAGGAATCTTGGACAAACATGATCATGGAGTTTTAAGAGTTTATTAAAAGCAAAACAGGAATAAATTTCAAAAAGTTTAGAGAAAAGTTAGAGACAATACAATGGCCTGAGACCATAAAAGGAAAGGATYCCTTCTAAAACCAAAAGATGACAGCTAATTACATATTCTTCAGGTAAGAAGAGTAAAAAATATCCAAATCATGGCTAGCAAATTAATCCTYGAGAGGCAAATGTCATTTGTCAATCACAGCACCTTTTCCTGTTAAGGCCCATGTTATTCTCAAATTTTCTTTTACCCAGTACTCTAGTTACTAGTTGGCCACAATGCATTGAACAAAGCTGGAACATAAGAAGAAACCCTCTGACTTTACATAAAGTGTAAGGGCTGGGGTTGTGGCTCAGTGGTGGAACACTTGCCTGGCACGTGTGAGGCCCTAGGTTTTATCCTCAGCACCACATAAAAATAAATAAGTAAAATAAAGGCATTGTGTCCAACTATAACTAAAAAGTAAATATTAAAAAAAAWTTTTAAAAAAGAATAATGTGTGTGGTGGGGGGGCATTAGGGACCAGCATGTGTACCAAGAATAAGTTGTGTCAAACCTATTCAGTTTCTTTCTCCTAGGGAATGCTAATGACAYTGTGAACAAACACCTGCAGGCTACTTGGAGAAGCTTTCATGCCATCTAAGCACCACAGAATAATTCAGGCTGGATGACAATGCTAGAAGGTAGAGTCAAAACCGACTGAATACCTGTAGTAAAGAGCTACTGGTTCAGGGCCCATGGGGAAACTGCTCAGTCTTTGGTTCTGTCCTGCTCAGCATATTCATTCATTCATTCTTTCAACCTGTTACTCAACAGTCATTTGAGAGCTTGTGTTAGATGTTGTGCGGAAGACACAAAGATAATTCCCGTGTGGAGCCTAGGATACCGAAAAGACGACAGAAGGGGAGATAAAACCCAGTGTGATAAATGCTTGGGCTGAGGTGTTATATAGGGAGCTCTGGAGAATAGGGCCTGACCCCAACCTGCCCTGTTGAAGGAGATAACTATATATCAATGGTTTATCTGCCTCGAGAAAGAGAGCATAATGCTGGGAAATAACATGAATGCCAAAAATTACACAATTGGAAGTTAGAAAAGGTTGAAAAGTTAAAATTCACCATGTGAAATTCATTTGTAGTCACTCAAATATTGCACTTTTAGGTTGCTGGAGAATGCCCACTTCAAGCCTCACTGAAAGAACATTGTCCAAGGAGCCTGTACACCTACCAAGGTGTCTCTGTAGTCAAATGGGACCCATATCCAATGAGGACTAGCTAAATATACTTCTTTGGGGCTTTTCTGTTCTCTCTCTGAGTCTCCAACTCCACTCTTACTCCTCCTTAGCATTTTCTCAGGGTGTCATCTATAACTAACAGACTCAGGAATTTCAAGATCCCCCACTATATCCTTGGTTGGGCCACTCAAGGAAAGAAGCACTGAACATGGTAGGCAGCTGTAGCACACTTTCAGTTGGTAAGACCTTTCTTGCCAGCCATGTTCCCTTCTGCAATCTGGTGCCCCAAGGTTGTACCTTCTACCACACAGAAAAGAATAAAAATAGAGAAGCACAAATATACCAGTTCCCATGGCTGTATATCCCAGGCAGTTGGTACACCCCTCCAGACCTTAGTGTTTCTATCTAGGAAAGAAAGGGGAACTTCCAYCTGGGGTGGGCAACTTGTGTTAGTTGTTTATGGATTCTCCTAGAGGCACTCATTGTTAAAAAGAATTTCAAAGAGAGGAATGATTAGTACCAGGGAGTAAACAGTGGAATTTCAGGAATCAGAGGATTTATTTGGGTTCCCATCCCAGAGTAGGAAGCTCTGGCAGGGACACTCCATCAGAACTGACCTCTTCAGTGACGATCGAGATAGCACCTGTGCAGCCTGGTTCATGGCTCTGATCCAGGCGTTCATGTCCTCCTGGGTATCAGCACTGAAGTAGTAGGTCCTCATGCCTGACTGCTCAGCCTGAGAGCCCACCGTAGAGCTGTTGTAGATGAGTGCTCGCATCCCTGTGTGCACAGCCTGTAAGCATGGAGATGGAAATCCAGGACAAAGAGAGTTTAGTACACATTTCCCATCTAGGAGCAAGGAGGAGGAAACAGCTGGCCATGTTCTTCCCCTTCCAGACTAAAAACCGCAGCACCAACCAGCTTGGTTCCACACCTGGAAAATGTCAGGGGCTAGATTCTGCTTCCTTAGTGCTGTAAGGCCCAGTGAGAGCTATGTCTGTTGTCCATAAGAAAAGCCCTGCAGCTATTTCCTATGTATCCTATTTCTATTTACCAAGGAGCACACAGGCTATGCTGACTTAAGAACTGTGTGTGTGTGTGTGTGTGTGTGTGTGTGTGTGTGTGTGTGTGTTGCTATAGACCAAACCCAGGACCTCAAGTATGCTAGGCAAGTACTCTACCCTTTGCCACATCCCTAGCCCCAGAAACAGACTTTTTTTTTTTTAATCCCTATTCAGTAAAAGTAGACTCTTAGGATTCCCTGTTTTTGTTTGTCTGAAGCACATAATTCCTTGTTTGGCTAAAATCAGACAAGAACTGAGTCAAAATTAGCTGCAGCAACATGTGGCTTGGTGCTGACTTTCACCAAGAGAATGCCCCCTTCATATCTCACTGAAAGAACATTGTCCAAGGGACCTTTATACACAGCAAGGTGTCTCTATAGAAACAAATGGGGCCCATGCCCACTGTGCTTCAACTGCATGGCACAAATGTGATGCATTTCCACCATAGAAGCTGGTATTCTGTCTCTTTGAATAGTCACTACAGAGTTGGAGAGCTAACCAACATTTGATTAAAAACTCTCGTGCATCTATTAAGTGCTTCTGTCTCAAGGTGCTTTCTGGAAAGAGGTGCTGGGCATGACCCCTGAAAAGCAAATRGGATGGTTTGCAAACCAGAGGCTAACACTAGTTTCTCTCCCTGTGCTCTGATAAGTAGAGACCAATTTTTTTAAAATTTGCAAGTAAAATCTCACCCAATATACATAGGAAGATGGTATAGAAATAATATTTACTGAGTGCCTACTTCGTGTCTCCTAAGTATTTCCATGATTTCAGTCTCATTTTAATCCCAATAGCCTTGAGAATTCAGACAGAATCTCTGTTTTACAGATGCATCAAATGAAGCTCTGAGATGTTAGGTAAATTTCCCAGATAGCAGGTTCTTCATAACACTTATCATTAGCTGGTACTATTAATTTTACACACTTGTTTGTCATCAGGTTATCATCTGTCTCTTCCTCTGGATTATAAATTCCATGAGAGCAGGAACCTTTTCTATCTTGTRTACTACTGTATCCCCAGGAAGAGTRTTTGGCACATAGTAGATATTAAATAAATATGTGTTAAATGAATGAAGGAAGAGTTGGAGCCCAGATCTGACTTCACATCCAAGCTTCTCTGTACAATGCTTGCAGGTCCTCTCCAGAAATGAAGGTGATTATACAGATCACTGGTCCTATAATCTGTTTCCAGAATGAAAGGCAGACTCCACTAAGGACCAAAAACAATTTRAAAAGTAAAATTAAAAGCAAGAAGATTGCACGCTTCCAAAATGGGTGAATGAAAACTTCTCAGATAAACCTTCAGAATTTATTTCTCCTTACATTTAACATCTGAGTCTAAAATACATATTAAATGTGGACCTCTTCTGACATTCACATGTCTGAGTTCACCTAGCCCAGTGTCAAAGGAGTTTAGGCAAACTTGGCCTTCATTCAAAGCCCCTACAATGACTGAAGAAACCTTACATTCTTCCTTTGTATATCTTAGGGGTATCTCTGGTCCGAGGATGGATTCCTCCATCTTAGCAAGGTGGAAATGCAGCAATAAGAAAGAGAAGGAACTTATTCATGTCTTATCAGCATGTGTCTCCTGAGTATTCTTAGCGTTTTCTGCCTAGTCACAGAGGGTTCTGGGACAGGCGCTCACCCCACCAGACACAACACAGTGAATTCTCTAAGGCATACTAGAAATGGTAGGTCTCTGTTGTACAAGAATTCATGTAGCCAGCCTTGTCCAGGAATCAACCCAGGACATGCCTCAAGCATGCAGACATGAGTTTGCACGTCTGTCAACAAATGGGCCTTGAGAGTTGCACCTAGCATCACAGAGGAGTTATGCAAGATCACAAATATAAACTCATTCATTAATCAAACTGTAGCAGGTGTGTGCCTGCTGCTCTTGGCTYTGAAGAACAGGTTCCCAAATGCATGCTGCCTGTGCTGGTGCATATTAGATATATTAACTGGGAGGGCAAGAAGGACTGGAGCTCCCATTTCATCTGGCCAAATGACCCAAGCCCAAGATTTCCTGAGCCTGAGGAAGATGCCAGGGCCCAGATGACCTGAAGTCTCCTCTTTCCTCCCTAGTCTCATCTAGGAAATGACCTCTTCCTCTCTCTTCTTTGCTTCTTGGTTAACAAAATCCTACTTGGCAACTTATATATGATTGAACAGAAACCAGGCTATGCCTAAAAAAAAAATGAGGCTATGAGCAAGGAAGCATTTCCCTCAAAAAACATAATGTACCTAGGATGTGACTGCTCTGCTGGCTCTTAAATCTCAGGTCTTGATACAGCAATTGGTGAAGGGAGCCAGAATCCTTCTACTTCAAGCCCCTCAGGACAGCCTTTAGAACAGGAAAAAAAAAAAAAAAAACTTATGTGGGAAATAAAGGAACACCCAGAAGGCCAGGGCCCACCAACTGGTTGATCCTCCTTGAGCTTATTCATGCAACAATAATTCATCATTTATTGTTTACTAGAGAGAAAAGTGTGTCCTAAAAGTTGGAGGGGCAGCCTGAAAAAAGGCCATGACAGTTTACAGACAAGTAGGAGAAGCCCTAGGACAAGGATCTACAACCATAGTAAATGTTATCAAAAGGTTCAGGATGCTRTGAGAGGGCAATGGGAACATGGCCTGACCCAGAAAATGACTTAGAGGAACTGACATTCAAGCTGTCTTCCACATGATAAGCAGCTACTTAGTAGGAGTAGCAGGGTGGAGAGGCCACAACCCTAAGAAGGACGAGAGCACAGAGTATTCATCTTCAGGATGAAGCCAGCATGACTAGCATAGAGAAGTGGAGGGAAGAGCACCACTGGGAGAGCTTCAGCTCTGCAGAGAGAAGAGCCCAAGTTGTGAGGCCCAGGACACAGAACACTGCATTTCTTGGAATGTCTAAGAACACAGATTCTGAACTGCCCCACAGCCCACTCACTAGCACCCCAAAGAAAAATGCTGCAACCCAAAGGGAAATATTTCTGTCTCAGGAAAACAATGCCTTTTCTGCAGAACCTGCTGACCATGACCAGATCTGCAGAAGCTTTCTCTGCTCTTTTAGACCCTGATGACCCCAAATACCCCTAAACACATGATGCCTTCTGTCTCCCAGATTTAGGAGATTTGGAGATTTGGAGAACATTCTTGGTGAAATCTGTTTTTTTCCTTTTCCTTTCTTTTTTRGGATGTTGGGGGTTGAACCCAGGACCTTGTGTACACTAGGCAAGTGCTTAACCACTGAACTACATCCCCATCACTTGGTGAAGTCCCCCTAAGGAGGGAACAGGGAGAAAGAGGAGGGAGAGGGAGAGAGAAAGGGAGAAGAAGAAGTTTAACACACATATGTTTTCTTAGAATCTATTTTTATACTTCCCAATGAAGTGTTAAGATGAAATATATATAGTCACAATAAGTCACTCTAAGGACATTCCAAATGCTGCTCCATCCCAAACCATGTGCGGCATATTTGCCCAGAAGTGATGCTCAACCCAGAAAGGAGGGTTTTCTAAGGAAGACTTTTAGGCTGCAAAAGGCAAGTTCAAAAGCCATTGAACAATATGATTTCAGAACAGCTCCTGAGTTACAAAGGAGAGTTTCTAAACAATACAATAAATGATCATTCAAACCTTCTTTTACCTCCTGCAATGTGCAGGAAGTGACTGAGAGAAGACATGAAAGGAAAAACAGAGAAGAAGAGTGAGAAACTGTCCCTCCTCCCTGTAATTCAAATGAAAGAGAATAGAATTCAGGGTAGAGTGTGGCCTCCATYGTCTTCCAGCTTTGTGACTTTGGGCAAAGTTTCTAACGCTCTCTGACCCCCACTTCCTTTATATATAAAATAGCCAATAATACTGACCTCTCATGTTCTCCAGGAGCATTAAATGAGTTAACATGCATGAATGCACTTGGTTTTACAGATAGAAGGCAATACTATTCCATGCCTCAGAAGTGAAGGAAAATGCCAGAATCACAGATCTGTAGCAATTCTGGAGTAACACTTGACATGAGGGAGGACAGCTCCAACCTGCTGATAAATGAAGCTGAAGTATCAGCTTATTCTGTGCTCTCTTGGAAAGGGGAGGTAGCAGGAAAGTAGGTGTTCTGGTTTAGATGTGAGGTAGCCCCCAAGGCTCAAGTATGAGACAATGCAAGAAAGCTTAGAGGTGAAATGATTGGTTTATAAGAGTGTGAACCCAATCAGTGCATTTATCCACGGATAGGAATTAACTGAATGGTAACTGTAGGCAGTCAGGGTGTGACTAGAGGAGGTGATCCCTGGAGGCATGCCTTTGGGGCATATATTTTGCCCTTGTTGAAAGGAGCTCTCTTTGTCTGCTTCCTGGTGAGATGTCCTAAGCCACTTTTCTCCACCATACTCTTCYGACATAGTGTCCTGCCTCATCTAAAGCTCTGAGAAATGGAGCCAGCTATCTATGGACTGAGACCTCTGAAACCATGAGCCCCCAAATAAACTTTTCCTCCTCTAATTACTCTTGTCAGGTCTTTTGGTCACAGTAGTGAAAAGATGACTAAAACTGCTAGGAGCCACAGCAAAAGTATTGATACATGGCTCTTTTGGTTTAGGTGACTGCCAGCGAACCAAGGAGGATATGATTATGTTAAGCTTTACATTTCATATGGAAATTGGACTCCTGCTGTTCACCTCGGCCTGTTACGGGACTCGGGTTACTCATGTCACTCATGTAATGGGAGAGTTCCCATTGGTTGGGGAAGTATAGTAGGAGGGAACTTCCGAGGGAGGTCCAAGCGCCCGGTTCCGGTGAGACACGTGGGTCGATCGGCTTGCTAGCAAGACGCACAGGGATCGCTGGCGGCCTTTTTAAATAAAGCTTTGTTTCCCGCTTGAGCGGTTCGTGTTTCTGTGTCTAGCCGGGATGCTGGGGGCTCGTGCAGCCGGATTGCGGCGGCTCGTGCAGCCAGGTTGAGGCATAAAACAATAGGTGACACCATAGATTCAGTAAGCACCACCATAGATTCCAGTTCAAGATGCTGGTGCAGAAGATCACTTGAAAAAGCCTCTCACAGACTGAGGACCAAATGATAACACCCCAGCCACTACATGTTAACACTGGCCAGCCCTTCCAGAGAATGGCGGGTGTCCTGACTGGGCCTTTTCCATGGTCTTTCAACTATCTATGCCTGGAAAAGGTGACTCTGCTATAATGTCTGCTGCCTAATTCTCACCTTGTACCCCCAACATAGGAGAGCCAAGTGAGAGGAACAGTAGGGTCAGGAGACCCTACCCAGCTTGAAGTGGATGGCATTTTCTTTACCCTGAGCAGCTGTGAGAGGGCAGGGATTCTCTTCTACTGTCATCAGGGCTATTGCTGCAATGTTCTCTGGGACTTCTGCTCCAAATGCTATAAACTGAATTGCCACTTAGTACAACTGATGATCCCCTCACCATTCTTGAGGGACCCAAAAAGTACTGCAGTGAAGGAATCTGTGGAGGCCACCAATGGAGAAGGCCTCAGGACTCCCAAGTTTGGGATTAACCACCATCTTCCTACAACCTCCACACAAGTGTCAGAGTACACCAAAGGACTGTCACCAATGATCTCAGCCCAACACACTCCAAATGGCATGACACAAAGGAAGCAGAAAAGGGGTTCTGCTGGTGGAAACATCTGCCTGGGGATCCAGAAATTTGATCAATTTCATTCTAATGACTTTACCACAAGATAAATAAAGTGAACAAACCTGACAGTTTCTTCAACATGCAGGCTCCCAWCCCTCAATGTGAGGACTCATAATTTAATTGACATAAATCCATTGTGGGGATCATCAATTACACTAAATGGGTGGATACTGGGTACACTAGCTGATTAAGTTGATAAGAAGGCAATATATAGTAGCCGTGGTGGGGAGGTTAATACTTGAACAAAGCTGGAGGACTCCAAAGTTCAGATCCACATGAAATTACTATTGACATATTATTCTAGTTTAAATAATTTATATATTTGTTAATCTGAGTCTGAAACTCTCTAGCTTCCTAACMGACTTCCCTCCTCCCAAAAGCAACTGTGTGTATAAAGGCATTTTTCAGAACAGCTTAACATGGAATTGATGCAGAAGAGAGAGAAGGGGCACTACCTTAAAGGAGTACTTGCGACTTATGCGATCCTCAGGGGCCACAGGTGAGATCACATAGCTGGGTAGAGGAATGCTCCCCAGGACCACTTCTTCTCGGCTGTCTTTGAATGGAAAAACACATTAGAACAACCTTCTGGGTACCCTGTTTCGGGCTTCTTCTCTCTCCCCGGGACTATGGCCATCTCCTCTTCATGAATCATTTAGACACTCCCTGGGCACTTTTGTGCAATGCTGGAACTATTAAGGTGAACCACACAGGGCACTCCCCCCAAGAGCAGAGAGAATCACATGAGCACACTCAAATCAACCTGGAAAAGGGCAGTATGGCCCGGGCTGTGAGGAAGTTGAGAAGGCTTTAGAAAGTGTTTGAAGTCTTTTCAAGGACAGGGAGGCACATTCTGGATGGGGCAAACCTCATTGGCAAAGTTACAAGACTGTGTGAAAAATCCTACCTTCTAGTTCTATTCTCTCTTCCTCCAAACCATCTTCTTAACCAGTGGTGTCTTACTGCCTATGGAGAGGGTCCTGTTGCTCTAACCTAAAGGCACTCTCTGATTCCTCATTGGACACAAAGTCAAATTCGCCCTGTCTACGGGTGACAGCCCTTTCATTTTGGCCCTTATTCACCTCTGGGCTTTATCTTCTAGTATATTCTCCATGCAAGACTCACTTGGCCAGAAGGTCTCATATACTTTGTTCTGCTCCTAGAACTTTACTCAAAGTTGTATCCTCTCTTCATGATGCCCGTTTCCTCCCACATAGACAAAGCTCTACCCATCCTTAAAAGCCCAACTCAAATCCTATCTCTAGAAGAGATATATAATTCACTTGTTGCTCCCCCTGAACCACCTAAGGACTTCAGATGTCTTTTAAAGCATCAATCATAGTCTAGTCTTGTTTGGTAAGTGTCTTTCTCTCCTCCATATGTGAGACTTCCTTCTCAACACTGCCCAGTCCCAAACTTAATGTAGTCCTCCATAAATACTCAGATGGTCAATTCAATTCACCAACTGCCCATCCAACATCAAAGAGGATAAATCCAGATGATGGGTTACAAAATATAATTTATCTATACTTCTCACCTCACCAGATTGCCTCCAAGGTGTAACTATATTTCAAGTAGGGCAGAACCTGATTTTCTGGATTTTGAGACCCTAAGTAGTAAACAAACTGGATTCTATTTCCTTGAAATCAATAGCCTCACTTTCCAGTGCTGAGACTGGTAAAAGTGAAGTCACCAATCATAAACATAAATAAAAACATGGCCAGGCACGGTAGCGCACACTTATAATCCCAGCAGCTCAGGAGGCTGAGCAGGAGGATGCAAGTTCAAAGCCAGCCCCAGCAAAAGTGAGGCACTAAGCAACTCAGTGACACCCTGTCTCTAAATAAAATACAAAATAGGGTTGGGGATGTGGCTCAGTGGTTGAGTGCCCCCGAGTTCAATCCCCAGTATCAAAAAAAAAAACAAACAAACAAACAAAAAAAAAAAAAAACCAAAAAAAAAAACAACACACACTTGACAGGGTAATAGGCTACTAATTAGCTCAGACTATTAGTGTGTCTACTGGATTTAAGAAAACCACCAATTGTGTGCCCTTACCACCATTCTCTAACACAAACAGTTCTTGGTTGGCTGAGCCTTAAACTCACCTTTATAGTAAAACAAGCAGTAATCAGCAAGCACAAACCACCTCCTTTTCCACAGTCTCATCCCAGAACTGTCCTGCAAAGCAAAGAAAAGCAGTCAGGACACTATCTGAGCATACTGTTCCCCTCCAATCATGTACAACCTAATAACCTAATTCTGGATCCAAGACTTGCCCATATTCACTCTTTCAATAAATTAATAAATATTTTATTGAATAGCTATTCTTTGAATAGGGCATTAAATTAGATTCAATGTTGGTTTATCACAGGAGGGTTTTTTTTTTTTTTTTTTTGGTCTCCAGGAAACAAATTATTATAATCCACCTTATTTTAGAAAGGAAAATGTGAATTCAAAAGTACAGGTCTCCTATTAATAAAGGGATCAGCTCTTAACAAAAGGAAGTTTTTTATTTTGTTTTGTGCTGTAAAATATCTTCATTTGGGCTGATTAGAAAACTGAATTTGCATAGTATTGAATATAGTTTAAGTTAGCTAATTAATTAACTGAAGTAATGTTCCCTTTTAACTAAGCTCAGTTCTCTATGATAAGGAACTGATTTTGTTGTTGTTTTACTTCCATTCAATGTGGAGWTTGGATTTTCTTTGCTATAAAATTTCCTTATAAAAAGAGTCTGGCTTTATTCATCTGAAATGTAAAACTTTACATTTATTAAGAACATTTTAGTGGGGCTGGCTGGGGTTGTGGCTCAGCGGTAAACTGCTGGCCTACCAAGTGTGAGCTGGGTTTGATTGATCCTCAGCACCACATAAAAATAAATAAAGAAAATAAAGGTATTGTGTCCACTACAACAACAAAAAAAWWAA